GCGGGGCGGAGGAGGCGGTGGGAGGAGCTTCCTGCGGCCGCCCGTGCGCTGAGCCCGCCATGGTGGGCACGGGGGGCACGGCCGGGGCGTGCGAGGGGCCGGGCACGGGGGGGGCATGGCCGGGGTGCCCGGGAGGGTGCGTGCTTAAGCGGGTCCATGCTCAGGGGAGCCCTGCCCTTGAGGGTGCATGACCCGGGTGACCCGGGGGTGTGCGTGGGAAGGGGTTTGTGGGGACGCGGGGGGATGCGGGACCCTCCCCGAACCTGGGTACCCCAACTCTCGGGGATGCTCCGGGCACGAGGAGTGCTTGGCCGGGGGGTCCCTGCCCGGAGGGTGCATGACCGGGGGGTCCCAGGGGGCCGCATGGCCAGAAGGTCATTGCCCGGGGGGTGCCCGCCAGGGGGAAGGGATGGGGGTGGTCCCTGCCCGGGGTTGCACGTCTGGAGGGTCCCTACCCCTAAAGTGCCAGCCTGGGAAGGGGGGGGGGGCGTCTGTGCCGGGGGGGGGTTTCCTGGCCGGGGTTTGCATGACCAGGGTGTCCCAGGGGGTTACAGGACCTGGGATCCCTCCCAGCCCAGGAGGAGATTCCGGGGGTCGCACCCCCGGGGGGGTTCCTATCCCGGGAGGAGATCCCGGAGGGGTCCCAGACCCGGGGGTCCCATCCCAGGGGGTTGCACACCCGGGGGGGTTCCTATCCCAGGAGGAGATCCCAGGGGGGTCTCACACCCGGGGGTCCCATCCCAGGGGATCCCACAGCAAGGACAGGGCTGGGGCTCCCCAGGCCCACTCCCGCCCATCTCTGGGAGCTGGGGGTGACCCCGCAGTGTCCCCCCCGCCCCGGCACAGGCGGTGATGGGGGTGCAGGTGGTGGTGACCCTGCTGGCCGCCAGCCTCATGCAGAAGATGGCCCCTCACTGCTCCTTCGCCCGCTGGCTGCTCTGCAACGGCAGGTACGGGCTCTGCCCCTCCCTGCTCCACCCTGGGGGGCCTTTTGGGGACACCCGGTGACCCCCACCCCCCCACCCCACCCCGTGCTCCCTTCCAGCCTGTACCGGTACAAACACCCCTCGGATGAGGAGCTCTGTGCCCTGGCCGGGAAGCAGCGCCCCAAGGCCAAGAGGGACAGGTGAGGAGGGGCTGGAAAGGATCAGGGTGTGGGTTTGGGTTTGGGGTTAATGGGACTCCCCCCGCCCTGCTGGGGAGCTGCAGCAGCAGCAGCACACGAGGGGGCTGCTGGCAAGGAGCAGCCCATGGTACACGAGGGACAAACTCGTGGCTCCCCGTGCAGGAGGGTGAATGGGGTGCTGGAGGACAAGCCCCTCTCCGTGCCCCGGGACATCGACCTGCGCCTGGACACCAGCCCCATCACTGCCGTGGATGCCCTGGGTAACCCCCTCACCCACTGCTCCCCCCGCCCTGCCTTGGGCTCAGGGTCCCCCCCAAGGGTCCCCCCAGGACAGTAACATGTCCCTGTGCCCCCTCAGTGCTGCGGTACTTCCTGGAGTACCAGTGGTTCGTGGACTTTGCCGTGTACTCCACCGCCGTGTACGTCTTCACCGAGGGCTACTACAGCCTGGCCAGCAACCCCCGGGAGACCAACCTGGGGGTGCTCTGGTGCCTGCTGACCGTCCTCTTCTCCGTGTATCCTTCTGCTGCTTTCCGGGCTCCCGTTCCTTGGGGGTCCAGCCTGAACCCCCCACCCCATGGAGCTGAAAATCTTCATTTTCTGGGTTTATAAACCCCCCAGTGATGAGCTGGGAAGGTGCCTCCTGAGCCCTTCCCCGCAGAGAAGGTGCTG